CTGTCCAAAAAATGGTTCACGCACCTTAATGCACCAGAAGAGACCAAGCAACATTCACAAGTTGGAAACATTGATCATCGGAGAGTTCATGAGGCACCCAAACACCTTCTTTATGGAGTTTTCCCATATTCCTTAGATGTTTATGTATTGTTTCATGAGAGACATGCAATTTCAGGGCTATTTCATGAATGTGTTGTCTTAGGTTAGTCTCAACAAGCGTCTTCAGAGCATCAATATCAATTCCAACATGTTGGCCCTTACCATCACAGTTTTCAAGGCTAAAGTCACTTGAGCAAAATTTGTTGAACCCTCGTTGACACTTACGAACGTTCAGAACATTTCCATAAACTTCTTTGATATTCTTTGTGGCTACAGAGGCATTGTTTCCCTTGTTGTATTCAAACAACATTACATGCCAAATGTGATGTCTCATCGTGTGCCATCACTATAGGGATTAGAGTATACTAAACTTTACACATTATATAGGCTACACTAAGGTGACGTTTAGGCAGTTCATTTAACTATTATATGTGATGTAAATTTTCTTTGGGGGTTGGTTAATAAAAGTGTTCCAAAATGCGACATTAATTGTGACGACCTAACAATATTGAAATCAAGTTTGAAGATTTGACTAAAAACTGCTGAATTTAACCCATATCTAATTTAAAGACCAAAATGGGAAGTGAATGAAAAGAAAAATCACATCCAAATTATCCTTAAATCACATCTTTATAATCTGATCAGTTTTGTATCACTTTTTTAATGTAACAATTATGTATTGTACACATCAGCTGTTAGTAGGTGACACATACCTGAGTGTAGTTTTTGAGTCATGTATGAGTTTTGGTATGCTTGGCAATTAGAACTTCCTGGGTCAGTTAATAGTGCACCCATAATATCTTCTTCCTGTAAAACTTTTGACTTGTCTAATGGACCCAGACTGATGGGTGGTGGTGACTTCCTGTCTGTCTTTAGCTGTGTCAGCTAGACAAAATAAGATAAACCAAGTTTTAGAAACCATTTCTACAACTTCCTATAAACTCCTTTCTTACAGGCACCCTTTTCTGCACGTCACAATATTTTAAATAGTTACATTTAAAATTTAAATAAGCTATTTTATGATCAATGTTTCTCAATGAAATCAGAATTAAAACTTACATTGTAGTTCAAAGTTTTATATTATCTAATTCTTAATTCCTTTACTTAAAAAGTGATCTTAAAGAAAAATTCTTAAAGTTTGTTGTTTTATTCTCTCGTGATTCGCATGTTAACAAAATATTAAATTTGTATTTTTGTAATTAGAACAGTTTTTGACTCACTCTAACCTTTCATATATAGAAAGATTCTAGGTTAATTGCTCAGAGAAAGGACAAATAAATTTCTCTGAACTCAACACATGCCATGCCCACTTTCTGCACATAGTTGTGATTTCTCAGCCAGTTATACTTAGTTAAGGTAGATGTTTATAACCAATGGAAAGAGTGCTTTTTGAAGTACATTCTCTTAACTGTTATTTTAAAATTGGCACGAAGAATTATATACAGAACAAGTCAAACTGCTGCTTTGTCCCCACCACTTTAGCATTATTTGTCACCTAGAAAAACATCAGATAGGCAGTTGCATTGTATTTAGGTTTTAGTTTTACTTAATTATGTGTTATTTATGTTTTAAGATACATATTTGAAAGGTTTAATATAAATATATATTTTTTAATAAATAAGACAACATCTCTGTTCACAAGAGACAGTGTAATATGCAAACCCCACACCACATTCTGCTGAGGGCTAAAGTTTCTCTGCCATTAAACGGTAATACTGGCCAGGGACGCCCACTGATGTGTTGTGAAAAATAACAGTGCTAAAGGACAGGAAAGGATAACAAGTTATTAAAATAAATTACATGTGAAAATGTAAAGACATGCAAAAAAAGATGCCTTAAATTATTTCCTTAAGTATTCAAAGGTATGTACATTTTTCTTATGCCTTAATGTTA